GCCCCTGGGGTGAACCTGGAAGAAGCCTATGGATAAAGCTTTGCAAGTTCCAAAAAACTCCCGAAAGCGAAGTTCGATATGGGCAATCCCAGTAAGATAGTGGCAGTAGGGTGAGGATGGTGTAAACCAAGGTCACCATCCCGAGAATGACAGCAGCCACCGCCATGACAAGAATGTGAATGGGGATGAGGAATGCCACGAGGCCAGCAAAGAAGAAGAAGAGGGAGGTATGCAGCAGCAGGGGAATAGTTTCTACCACCCTGTGCATTCCAAATCTCTTCAGCCCATAGTATAGATATGAGAAGACCCGGGCACGAATGACAGGAGCTGACCGAATCTCGGTCTTGTGTAAGAAATCCCGTGCCCATTGTTCCAGTAGTGTTGCCACCAGCGCACATGTTAGACTGAGTCCTAGGCTAATAAACCAGAGGACATTGCAGACAAGTGAGCTGACGAGTGGTGTAAAGGGTGCTGGTGGGACAAAATCAAAGGCAGTTCCATTTGATGAGGCCGCGAGTTGTTGAGATATCTGTGCCAGCAGGAGCACTGTGGTATCACCAGAGTCAGGGACCAATGTCTTGTAACTTTCAATCAGGAAAGCTGTCAAGCTCGCGGAGAAGAGACCAGCCTGCAAGCCATTAGGGTTCAATTGAACAATTACAAACACAACCTACGAATATCAGCATGCCCTCCATGTCACTTTTCCAACTTTCGACCAAGCTCTTGTCGTACTTCTCGGCCTCCGAAACATATACAGTCCACAGCTTTGCTGCAGCAGCTTCAGTCTCAGAGTTGCCTATCATAAGGTCAGATAAGGAGAATGGCTGAGCACAAGACCATGGGCATACTGTATCCATCCTGATTGAGCTGGCCCTCCTCAGTTTGCTGAGACATCACAGCGAGAGGCAAGCAACGAGGCGGACCCACACAGCTTTGATTGTGGGCATGACTTGATCACCGTCGGCCAATGTCAGATCGTTCTCGACCAAATCGCACGCAGTATTAGCCACAATCATGTGGGTATTATGAAGGCATTATATTCGGGCTTCTCACCGCTGTTGTGCGGAGCGCTCACTCTCTTCGATGGGGCGTAAGTCAGTTCATTTTGCCAACAGCATCCAAGGCACCTCAGAAGTCCAGGGAGCACTACCGAGATGTAGACACCACCGCCCTCCAAAACGCTCCCGGCACGCTCCAGTACAGACCCTGCCCGCCAGCAGGCGCAGTCCATGGTTTCAACGTATACGTGAAGAGCGCGATGCCAAGGAGGTACACTGCGATGATCACTAGGCGGCGGTATGAATTGAATTATGAGAGAGAGAAATATAACAACGAGGGAGCGTACCTCGCTTCTGCGCGGGGAACCGCCGCATCTCGTACTGAATCTGCGGCAGACCCATAATATTGCAGAATATATGCGCGGTGAGTGGCGGGATGAGCGAGGACGTGCGGAGGAAGAGGTAGGAGGTGTGTGCACCGAAGAGGGTCGTATAGGCTGTTTGGAAAACTGTCGGCGTTGATCAGAATAGGACACGGCCGCAAGGAAACGTACCGGTGGTTAGTATGGCGCGTTTGAGTGCATCCCGCGTACGCCCGTAGCGGTTGTAAGTGTCCCTTTCGTGATGGGCGTGCGCTGTGTTAGTACGACGAAGTTTCGTGTTCAGACAATGCACAAGTATGTAGAGCGCGAGACGAACCGAGACCGAACACCAGGGGTGCGAACGCGATCATCTTCCAACGCGCGGCGCCGCTCATCGCGCCGCGTACACCGATAACACGCAGGCACGGAAGACGACTTCCTCCGTGAACGGGCCCTAGTCCGTGTCATTCACAGACTAAAAGGAAGAGTGGAAGTCGGACATACCCAGACATAGTTTCGGAAGCCTACCCATGTTAGGAAAACTCCCTTAAAGTCGCGAGTGCACCTAGTAGTCATGGCACAGAGTCAGCCCAGACGCCGTGAATTCCGCTGCAAAATTTTTCGTACAGATGGGGGACTGGAGGTGAGGACGACGATATAGACACCACAGCAGCAGAAGAGCGATGCAAACGTCGCGGCAGTCAAACGCGCGCGGATGACCGCGGGGTCGTCTCTGCTGCCTACTTGCACATCCCACCGCGGCGGCCGCGCGTCGCGCGCTGAGAAACGTAATCGCGCGTTTTTCACGACGTAGAGAGAGCCGACGTATGAGGCAGAGAAGGATAGCGCTAGCAGGTGGGAAGAGAGCGGGGAGAGCGGATATGCTGGGGACTGAATGGGTGGCATGACGGGCGGAGACGGAAGACAGACTTGACGGCGTTATGCACGGACGACCCGGCCAAACACAGTGGACAGCCACCCCCTGGAATCAACCGTGGATCACATTCAACGAAGTACAAAATTCTAATCTAGGTATGCTTTGGTACAGTCCCAACTGAGCTCATCCAAAGTGGATCATGCTCCATCGGGAGGAAGAATTCTGCCAGTAAGCCGGACGGGTCGAAATAGTCCGAGTTCCCGAAGTTGAACGGGGGCACCAAGTGCGAAGACGCCGGCGTCGACGCCCGCTCCATAAGCCCCGCCGCGTTCTTCAAATACCGGTCAAGGCGGGTGATCAACTGTGCCGTTTCCGAGGAGGCGAACAAGTCCAGCGAGTATCCGATAACTCGCAGCTGTGCAGCGAATCTTAGCATCCACGCATTAGCACCCAGTACCCGCATCAGACAATGAAGAAGAAGGCAAACGCACGTCTCAAGATCCCTTACGAGCTCCGGCTCCAGCGTCGGTGTCGCCTCCGCCTCCCCCAGCGCAAACGCCGCATACTCGAGCAACGTCCGCCTTTGCACCGGCGCATAATGCACCCGGTTCAAATACCGTATCGCGCGCGCGAACTCGCGCACCGCCCCCCTCGCCATCTCGCGCGCCTGCACCCCCAGCAGGCGCATGCGCTCCCGGGCGTGTGCGGTGGGTGCGGGCATTGACTCGGTGCGGAGGGCGATCTCGAGGTGCGCGGGGAGGACGAGGCTGGCGAAGCCCACGGAGACGCCGTATGCTGCCCCGCGCACGAGGCGGTCTTTCGCGCTCGCGTCGTCGAGCATGAATGGGCTGAGTTGCTCGCCGGTGCCGTTTTCGCGCGAGGCCAGGACGGAGTCCGCGCGGGATAGTAGGTGCGAGAGGATTGCCTGCATGAGGGAGACGGAGGAGAGGAATTGCATCACGGCGGATTCGGAGAGTGGGGCGAGGCGGACGTGGTCTTGGGAACTATTAAAGCGCAAGTGTGGTGTTGAATGAAGGGATTCATACCTCCAGTAATGGTCGACCATAGCTGGCGCGCGAGGCGAGTGATGTGGAGTGTGACTGGGTTGTTCGCCAATAAGACAACCCGTCGACGTGCAGCCGGGCGACTCACAGGGCTTTACGGAGTCGAAGAGAACTTCGGCGGGCGGGTTAGTTGTTGCCTCAACCGAAGCCAGGAACTCCTCCGCGGAGAGTGGTTCAGGCCCAACGAGCAAAAGTTGGTCCTCCGGCGTCCTGGAGACCAACTGGTGAGTGAGGATCCATTCAACCCTGTGTGAAAGATAGAGCACACTAAAATCGGCTTGCGGCTTCTCGTCGACAAGAGGGACTCGGCCATCTGAGGTAAAGCCGATTTAACTAAGTATCACGGTGTCAGCAATAGCAGTACGTACCAAAAACCCCGCCCAATGTCCGGCATACGGCGGCGGCGTATTCGGCGCCCGCCACATCGGTGCGAGAGCGCGAATGTGCGACATGTAGGCGGTCGCCCATGGCCGCGAGAGACCGGAGAAATCATCTGCAGTCAGTCAGCATTTTTCTAATGCACTGCACACCGCATCGAACCCACTCTGGTCCAGGGCATCAAGCAGGTAACACGCCGCCGCGTTCTCAATCGAGACCTGCAGCATGACACCCGCGTCCCAGGCGGCCTTGAGAGCGGCGGCGCGGAGGGCATGACACGGTTCTGCGCGACGCACGCCGCACGCCCTCACGTCCTCTGGGGACTTGAAGAAAAACCCGACGTCGGCGAATGAAGTGGGGCGCGGGCCCGGACCCAGAATCGCCTCGTCGAACGAGATGACGGAGCCGAGAGCCACCATGCAGAGGGCGAGCACTCGCGCCTGCGGGGGGAGGACATCGAGTTTGAAACCAGCCGCCGAGGTCGTTGGCTTGATGGACGTCGCAATGACTATGGGGTTCAGGCCGAAGGAGAGCTGGAAGAAGCCTATGTATTATTTCAGTGAAATTCTGAGTAGTATCGTGGAAGACTTACAGTCCAAAAGATGGGAGACCAGTTCTGGAGTGAGGTTCGGGCATCCGGGGAGGGTTTCGTATGCTTGCGTGGGCAGGAGAGTCCCCTCCGTCGCTGACTTCATTCGTTGTCCTCCCACGTCGGGCGGCGTCGGCGTTTGCGAACTCCCGGCCCCGCTGGAACTTGCTCTAGCCACAAAAGTGGGCGGTCGTCCACGTCGAATCGGGGTTGTAGTGCATCTGGAATTAATGAATAAACATTGCCCTCTCAATTAGTTTGCTGGGACGCACACGATACCCTTTTCCACACATCGCGGACATGACTGTCCGTTGGGTTGCGGGTGACATAAGACGCGCCGGGCCTACTAGGGCGACTCAGACTATGCGCCCCATGGTAGAGCAGGCACAAACCTTGCATGTATCGCAGGCGGGAGGCTTTGGGGGCCGTTTCTGGCGTGGAGGCGCGTTGGACATGGGGGGTAACGGAAAAAGGTGGAACTGCGCGCGGGCTGTGTACTGTCAATCAGCAAAAGATGCCGCCGTTGCCGGCGAGGTTGAACTGTCTAACATAGGCCTTCGAACATCTTAGAACACTCTCAACCGCTCCGGGGAAGTGTCAACTTGTTTGACTCGAGCCAAAATCCCGTCTATGGACGATTATAACTTCGTCGTACCATCAGACCGGAGTGGCGACAAAAAGAGTATTTTGTTGAGTGTTTCAACTTTCAGACGACCTGAAACGAGACAAATTGCCACGAGCGAGGACTCGAACCCCGGTCCCCCGGTTTTATTAGGCAACAGAATACGGGTATCGTAATCACTAGACCACTCGAGACAAGCTAAAAATCTTTCCGGTTCACACTTGACCCTCGCGATAAGAGCGAGTTCAGACTACCGTCACTCAAAGGTAGACCACTCGAGACAAGCCGCAATGCGCTCGTGTGGCGCTCATGTCGCCTGCCGATCAGCGTGGGTTGAAACACAAAGGTCCCATGGGCACGTAGCGCGCAAAGGTGAGCGAGCGAACGGTGGTACCGATTTTCCAGGTGACATTGCGATTGGACAATGACTCGCGAGCGGTGACTCGCAATGCTGAACGGTGTGCCGAGATGCCGAGCTTTCGTGTTTGATTCGTGTGACAAGTGACGGTAACACCCCTTGTCCACCACACTCATGTCCGATTCAGCCTCCAGCACGCCTCCACCCACAGCCCGCGGCAGAGGCCGCGGCAAATCGCGCGGGGGACTCGGCAAATACTTGCGCGCCAGAGGCAGAGGTCGTGGATTAGGCCGTCCCGCAGAATTCGGCAAACGACTCGTCTTGGAGGGCGAGGAGGAAGACGAGGAGGAAGCGGCGGAACGTGCCGCGGAACTCGCGCAAAAATTCTCCAGGCGCCAGCTGGGTACTAACGCCGACCGATACGCTGAACCGGACCCCGTACTTGACTCGGATGGCGCGTTATCTTGCTTTCATTGGGCGAACGGAGTACGATGATGATACTGCCTCAGGCGAGCCGGAGGTCGAGCCCGAGGTCGATTTATCGTCCTTTCTCGAACGGCAGCGCATTTCGGACGAGCCTGGGCCCTCTACTCATCCCGTGGACAACGACGAGGACGACATCGACCACAGCCTCGCGCATATTTCGTCCCGTGGCGTCAACACCGTCGTCGCTCCATCGCGCAAAGGAAAGGTGGAGCAAATCGAATGGGACGACGAGCTCGATGAGCTGGAGCGCGAGAAGGCTTCAGCCGAAGCGATCTGGGGTTCGTATGCTCCACGCCTACCTTCTCCACTCCTCGCTGAACCCAATGCGTATACGCAGACTTGAAAACGCGATTTCGCGCCAAGTCAGAGAAACTACGAAAGTCGGCGGTGACGCCGGTACGCGAGCGGAAACCGGGTCGGTTGTTACTTCTGTACTTCTTCGCCGCCAACTCATTGCATATCGCAAGGACCAAGCTACGTGGAGGCGCCGCCCCTCCCGCTCGCTGACGGCTCACTCCCCCCACCCAAGCAACCCAAGGACGACATGCAGGACTTCCTGGATGACTTGCTGGCTTGAGGGTTGTCGGCGTCTCTATGTATTCGAATAACCTGGTGTGTTCTGACGACCAACATTTGTACTCTCCATTCTTGAACTCTGAGTTGCGGTGGACCTCAATACCAATTAAACACACTCTACAAGATACAAGTTTCATCGACCCACTCATAGCACAAGTTCAGTTTCCTCCCGCTTCCCGTAGAGCTCCTGTTGTGGTCTCTCTTGGCCAGCCTAAACACATGGTCCCCGTTGAGGATTTTCGTGCGCTGAATTTTTGAGCTGCTGGAAAAAAACGTTATCATGGCTCATGGCTTGGCCTCGAGTCGAACGAGTGAAATCTGCGGTAAATTCTCACAACAGGATGATACATGATTTGCAGACGCGGACTTCCAAGCCTTGAATGGTCTTTGGAAGGGCACCCATATTGTGCGAGATGGTTTGCATTGTGCTGGCGCAGTACACACCCAGAGCTCAATTCGAGGGGAACGCACGCGAGATTCTCTTCTTTGTTTTTCTTCGTCCGTCTAGCGCCGCTCCACAGGACAGGAACTAGAATAGCCCCTGCGCTGCGCCAACTGCATCCCTGCGCACAGAGGACGCGGCTCTTTAAAAAGCCATCTCGAATCAGAACTTCAGTATATGGCAAGACCTTGAGTCGAACGAGGAAATCGATTTCGAAGGACTTCAAAGGAGTATTTAGAATCGACGCGCACCGTGCGCTCCTTGCCCTCCTCAGATTGGCATGTAGTCATCCGGCAATTTACCGAGCTCAAAATATTATACCTACCGCGAGAAGTCAAACGAAGTAGCAAGTACAACGCAACGCAACACCCGGTTGAACTGACGTGGACCAATGGACGGAGGATGCGGCCTTGACTGAACATGGACTCCTCCGTGCATGGGAAGTCGTCTCGACCTCAGTACCCAACGGACCTGGTTCCAGGATGCGAACAAGATTCGGACTAAAGCAGAACTAGAAACAAACGGTCAAGATCGTCGCGGTGCAGAGGCATTTTTTGCCCCGACATTTAAGGAGTGAGTACAAACTTCCTCGAGTAGGGCAAGGATTTCCCGGCGCTAGAGACCCAAAGATTGCCCCATACCGAACGGAAGGCGCACCCGAGTTAGGCAGAGTGCGAGAGCTTTTTTTCGGCCGAGTGAAGGACGATCGATGGTGAAGCCATGCTGGCAGGGTATATATGTACGCTGAATGCCAATTATTGAAGTTGGATGACAATCGCTGACGCTAGGAAGCAACAGCGGTTCAAGACGGACGCGGTAGAAGCATATGTAATTCTTTTCTGTCAGTTTATGTGTCAATGAGTATAGCCGGGGTCGAGGAAAGATGACGCTCGCCTATGTAGTCTAGTCCATCCAATAGCGTGTTGCTGAGAGCGGGGCATAAGCGATACGTATACGAGGAAATGAGGAGTGAGTACCTTCTATTTCTCCTCTGCGCTTCCGCGCGACAAAGGCGTCTCCCAAGGACCAGAAATCCGACAACCCCTTTGCACCTGCTTCCCACTCGCGCCAATACCGGTCGTACGTTCCAATCACGTAGCGCACATCGAGAACAGAAGGAATCATGGCTTCCTTGTATTCCTCCACCTGGAAACACGACCACAGAACGACGAGGAGTTGGAGTCGGGGACACTCCGCCAGGACGACCAGGGCATTGTCTCGAGGTATATCCGGGTCCAGGGAAAGATGTGTGAGCGCAGTCAGCGTTGGAATATGCGGGAGGACGTCTGGAATTCCGTCGCTCACATAGCCAAACATGTCGAGATGCGTGAGGCAGCAAAATGCAGGGTGGGTGAGGTCGACGGTGGAGTGGTCGAAGAGCTGAGGTAGGAAGAGACTGAGTCGCTGAAGCTGCATATTTGCGAAGAGGGGTAGAAGGAGGCTATCGGTGTAAGCCCCCACAGAAGCAAAATCGGTGACCCCGGGACAAAGCTCGAGCATTCGCCGGACGTCTTGGGGGGTCAAAGAGGGGGTGTCACCGTCGGTTCCCGAGAATCCAAGGTGACGAACAGCCTTTTGAAAGAATTCGGATGGCTTATTTGAGTCCAGAACGGATCGGACGCTGAATCTGTTTCTGCCATTCACTAGGATGACCCTGTACAACAAAGGCTCGAGCCTGCTCGGAAATGCGGTGAATATCTTCGAATAATTGAGGCAACGAAGCGCACCAGATCTTGACTCGACGGGCCACCAGGAGCAGTCTGGGAATCGAGGAACGGCCCCTCGATGCAGCTATCTCGAAGATCTCCCGTTCAAGTTCGGCGGGTAGCACAGCGGTGACCACAGACATGGTGGTGGGAACGAAGGCTCGTGACGGCGGGTGTGTACGGGACGATGATCAGATCAATGTAACATCACTTGTCACACGTCACACGTTCTCTCTCCGACCACCATTGACCACCCCGCGCTCTTTTGATGTGGCGGCAGCTTTGTTGCTTCCCTTCGAGGCCCCGCCTGCAGCCTACCCCAATACTCGAATCTTCACTTGACATCCTTCACACTGTCTTGCCACTCACCTAGGATCCTGTCTCGGTTCGCACTTATCGTGGCAAACGCAATGAGGGAGTATTCTTCGGTCCGAATCGATGGTCCGAATCGATCCGCCAGTGAGCAACGGTCTCTTCAAGTCCAAGCGTCCAGATTTTGACAGAGCACAGCATGCAGGGTCCCTGGTCCGAGGTAGCCCGCCATACTCTTCCGCCAATCAATATCTGAAAATGCAGCAAACCCTTGTGTGGTCTTTGGCTGCATTGGCTAACTTACGAGCAAAATAGCTCTCCGATCTTGGCCGTGATTACTGTCGCCCCAGCAAAATCCATGTTGAAGAGTAAATCCAAGTAGGTCGCCGTCCAGTGCGATAGTCCCGGAACACGGTAATCGGACCGATTTCCACGAAGAAACTAGACCCTTGCCTTACTTCCGACCCATTCAACACCGCCCTCGTTCCTGATTGTCCTCCCAATCTGCCAGCTTGACACTCTTTCGGATGATTACGCGTTGATTCTCACTTCGGCTCGGGCACTTCTCTCCGTCTCTTCTGTCGTTCAAGTCGGCCCGCTTTTCTCGGGGCCTTGTGTTTCGGACTCGATGGCGGTATAAAATGCTTGTAATTATAACTCACCAACGACTTCATCAAGCTCTCCAGCGATTTCTCTTCCCTCCCGCCATTCACATCCACTTTTCTGCTTCGCTGAAAAGGTGCCTCCCCCGCCGCACTCCTCTGTATCGCGCGATGCTGACGCTTGGCCGACTAGAACCAACGATGGGGAGCGGCTGTAGCACCATCTCGGTGGTATCGGGCGACAGCTGCGCATCATTAGCCAGTCGATGTGGAATATCCCCCGCCAACTTCACGCTGTGGAATCCCAATCCCAACTTGTGTTCAACTCTCGCCGTCGGAGAGAAGGTCTGCTGCTCACCCGGTGGATTACCTATTCCCATCCAGGTAAGTCACTTCCAGATACCGTATGTGGTCCCTTTCGCGTTTCTCACTTGAACTCATAGAACCCCGACGGCTCGTGCGCGTCATATGTTGTCGCCGCCGGGGACACCTGCACGACCATTGCGCTCAGCTCAAGCATCACCACCGCTAATATCGAGTCATGGAACAACCATACCTGGGGATGGGAGGGTTGCAGTCGTCTGCAGACGGGGCAGAACATCTGCCTCAGCACCGGCACGCCCCCGATGCCCGCGCCCGTGAAAGGCGCCGTCTGCGGCCCACAGGTCCCGCGGACGCCCAACGCCCCCGCGGGAACGGACCTCACGACTCT